TTTATTTCAATATTAGCATGTCATCAGTAAAAATGTGCACTTATAACTAATTGCTTTTCATATTCATACGATGATATTGAAGCAAAATCGTCTGAGATTGTAATGAAGAATTTAAAAAAGAAGTTATTTCTCAAGATCTTATAAAAATTTATTCATCTAGATTAAGGAAAAAACATAGATTTAAAAAAACCACTTTTGTAATGCAATTTTTAAGCGTAAAAAAGTATTGCACCAATTACTTCACTGGATTATAACTCCATTTTTTAATATCTTATTTTTTTCTGTATCGCTTGCGAACTAAAATGTGTGTCTTTCATAAAACAGTTATTGGTAAATCTACAGAGTATTTTATGGAAAATGTCTAAAAAGAAAATATCTATATAGAAAGCAAATTTCTTGGCAATTAAATTGCAAAATTCATCAATTAAATAAACACATTAATTATTAATAAGCAAAGGTTGGTTAAAGTTTCTTTATGAGAATTACTTTTATTAAAACAATTTCTAACAAATGGATTTATAAAATTGGTGCAAATAAAAATCAGATTTTAAAACTAAACAATAATTGAGATTGGGAACAGATATAATATTAATATCTGATTTTTTATATTAAGCCTTCATGTAAGATTAGTTGGAGTATTTCTCATAAGACCATCAAGCTTTGACCGATAATTTTTTTAGTTTCTACAAAAGGCGATTTTCTGTTATCTTTAAAGTGTCTGCTAAAAAATAAAGAACAAAGTATCAAGTTAAAACTGATAAAGACGAATCTTAGATAGCGGCATTGAAAGAGATGAACTCATAAATTTTTAAGAAGAAATCATTATATATTAAAAAATTAGCTTGAATCGGAAGTTTCACTTTCCATTTTCTTCTAGATGACGAACACTACAATTCTCGCTTTTTGCTGATCAACATTACTTATTTTTACTTTATTTTTTTAAACTATATCTGCACTTTTAATTATGTTTATGTATCAATATCTATTACTAAATATAAGTTCTGCAACATTGCATCGAGATAAAACTTTCAAGGTGAAAAGTTTTTTTCTGCGTAATTTGAGTTTTTTCAATTTATGGTGTTATTTCAGGAATTGGGAGTTCTGCCAAGTTTAAATGTGTGTATAGAGTCATAAAATTAAAAGTTCAATGAGAATTTTTGATCTCTTGTAGATTATAAATTTTCTAGAATTCTCATTAATAGATGTAAACCCTTTATTGGAGACCAAAAGTTGGAGAGATAGTTAAAATTTTGATTACTTCTCCAACGTTAGCAATTTCAAAAACCATAAAAGCTGGACGCAATGTGAGGAACTTAAAACATTATTTTATTTTATCATTTTATTACCGTCGTTGAACAGCCAACCCAATTTTCCGGGTTTACGACTGCTAATGTTCTACTCTGTAACCTAGTAATTTTGAACCCAATCCAGAAAACAAAGGAACTCCTGGATCAAGTATTGGGAGAAATTTGCCTTTGTGGAGGACTTTTTGATGGAACTAACCCGAATTCGCATTACATGGTGAGGAAGAAAACGAGAACCTCCCATGGTTAGTCTGATGGCTACGGGATTCTAACCCATGATCCGTCTACCACTGAGGATATTTGATGTCAGCACTGTGGTCGGTGCGAGCAGGAAGCAAATTTCGCATTGACCAGCCAATGCTGGGATTCGAAACCGGTTCACCTCATTGGAAGGCGAGCGGTCTATCCTTTGAGCCATCGTGGCTCCTAAAACATCATTAAACAATGATAATATTGTGATACTGTCATCATGTACTAACAATCATCATGTACTAAATATTAAGATCCTTCTAAAACAAATTCTAAATCTGAAATATATATGAGCATTCTTTGATATGGCCTCCTCTAGGTACTCGAAAATTTATAAAAACCTGTGCGGCCTGCGGTATACATGAGGCCATCGTGTATACCACAACCCTAGCAACAATTCTACCTTGACCCCAATTGGGCTCAACATGGGACCAATATGAACTAGCAATGAGGGACCAATATTGCGATGTCAAGATTTTTTAATATTGACACTATATGGAGCAAATATTGGCCTTTATAGGGTTAATATAGGGTCGATATTGGCTGAATAATGAATATAAAATGAACCTGACACTTCAACATAGGGCCCATATTGGTTGTAAAGTAGTTATAAAATATAGGGTAAATCGGGCAATTATAGGACTAATATTGAAAAATAACTGAAAAGTAACAGAATTAATCAGAACAAATACTTAACATATTACTAATTATTTAACGCTATTGAAATTATTACTTAAGATGACCTAACAAAATGAATTATGACTACAGTGTTGTCAATTTAGATAACAAAATAGCTGCGTTTCTGGTGCCACATAAGAGAATGAACTATATAGATACATCTAATACTATGTAGTAATTCTTTAAACTACTACGAGATATAGTAAAGTTAAAAACAGTTATTATCTCAGGTCACATTTTAATGGGTTTTCACAAAATTTTGTATGATGTTTCACATTGTACCATGCGGTTAATAAAAATTATATCTTGTAACCTTTATCAGGAGCTTAATTGAAAGTTTATGTTCATGTTGATCTATGAAATCGGATCAAATTACACAGTAAATTATTCAACTGGGCCAAGTTAATATGTAATGTTAATCTTACTAAAATTCCAAGAAATGAATACGCTAAAATCTCAGAAAGATAGGTTCAAGTTTGAACCATATTATCACCATTTTGAATCATATTTTCTTGCAAAATTGCTGCAACCTTAATTAATCTACTTCAACCATTATTTTTTTCCTATTTGAACTGAAGTGTCAAAAGAATAGGGGTGAAAAAAAGAAGCTAAATTATAAGGTTCGATTTGTCATCTTATACATATATATTTGTCACCATGAAAAACCACATTATTATGGTTTAACGAGGGCCAATATTTCTAAAATTCGAAAACAATTCTAATTCATACAATAAATTTCTTTGTTTGTTTATTGGTCAAAAAGTTTTTTCCCTTAATGTTTAGTTCGATAATTAATATTTTATTTTTAAATAAAAATAATAAAATAAAGTAAAATAAATTGTAAATTTTTTATAGTTTTAAAATACGTTTATTTAGTAAAATTTTTTTTGTTACCATCAATTATGACTTGATATTTTCTAAAAATTAATTTTAATTGAGAATACCTATTTACCTTCTTGCAACCAAGAAAAATGTATGAAACCAAAAGTCATCGAAATAATATTTCCGAGTAAAAATTAAAAATCTAAATAATAGTTCATGTATGCAACGAATGATAACGTCTTTATTCTATTTTTATAAGGGTAAGGTGTATTATATTAATTAAAATTAAAAAAAAAAAAATTATGTTAAGAATTTTCTAACATATTTTCTTTTAAATGCAATTATTGTCATTTTTCGAAGTAGATGTTATTAATTTCAGGTAATAACTTATTTATTCATTGAAAGAAAATATGACATTAGCAGTAAAATGTAGTTGTTTATTTTCCAACCAATGACTTGCTTGCCGAAGTTAATTTGCTGCTGACCCCTCGTTTTCTTCCTTTTTCCACATAAAAGTTTGATCTTTTTATATATCTTATATTTAGCTTCCCTCAATTTTAGTTTTAGTGCTTCACTATTGATGTCTTAAAACTATATCGCATTTAAAAATATACATAAACATAATTATTTATAATTAATATGTTTTTAAAAAGTCCTTAAGAAGGAAGTGTATCTTAAGCTTCAAATAATTGCATTTTCGGGACAAAATATATACTAGTAAAATTTACTTCTGCATTTGTGAGAATAAATTTGTAAATTTTATATTTTGCAAACTCAAATATTTTTAAAATACGTATGAATGCAACAAAAGAGCCGAATGCATGCCAGATAAATAAGCATATCATTTCCAACATATCGTTAAATCTACAACTTATGAAGTTTTGCTAATTTTTTTGCAAATTACTGACAAGAGAAGAAATGATAATTACTAAAATGCTTTCTAGAAACCTTAATAATAAAAATAATTATTTTAAAACACTTATGAGAATTGTATAATATGATTTTACAGTTTATACTGAATTTCGTTGCATATACATTTTTTTAATAGAATTTCAATATTCCTTTAATTTGATTTGAAATTAAATTGAAGTGAAATATGCAATTAAGTAGATCATAACTTGCAAAAGAATTTGAATGTTTTTAAGAATTAAAAAATTCTAAAAGCGTTAGTTATGAACAAGTAATTTCCATATTTTGAATAAACTATTATGATCGTTACTTAATAATACAGAAGTCTTGTTCATTAACACATAAGAATTACACAAATAAACGATTCTTGCTACTTGCAACTTTAATTAGCGAAGCACTCTTTTTGTTTATAATAGAATTAACCGACTGGAGCTTTCTTAATTATTCACAAATATTTGTTTAAAAGAGCAAGCGTAATATTCTATAAAAATTATTAATTATTATATTTAATTAAATGTAATTAATTAAAATTTTTTTATATTTATTCAGTTTGCTGGAAATTAGAAAATGTAGATTTGTGCATTAAGAATTGGAATTTAACATTAATTTTGTTTATTTTTATCATTACGCTCAATCAATTCACATAGCAACTAAGCAATTTTTAATCTAATATCGCATAACTATTTTGAAAAATTCTTTTACACAAAATAGGGATACTTTTATAAATGTCGGCATTATTTTTGTTTATGAGAATAAAATAGCGGGGCAGCTTAATTAGAGCTATATAAATAACGCCTTCTACAAATTATTTGGCAGAAAATAAAATAATAAAAAAGAGGCGCAAGAGCGAGAAATGTGCCAAGCTGATCTACTACTTTCTCCAGTTGTCATTCCTCCGAGAGTCATTCACACATACTACAAATCATCAAAATAAAAGATTGGAAAATAAATTAAATTGCCTGTTTTAGAAAAGGAATGCGATAATATATATTCATAAAATAAATAAATAAATAAATAAACTAATAAATTTTCACTCACCGCTGAGTCGACAAGTTGGCAATTGAGCAATGAATAAATGACAATGAGAGACAAACAATATGTTTGACTGTAGTGAAACCAAAGGCTTCGCATGATCGAGACAGTTTAAATGCCTTCAAACAATAGTAATTTATTTTTTTCTATAAGCCATGCTTTCAGCGTATGATCTTCATGTCATGGAAAGCATCACACTCCTAATATTGTACACCGAATGATAGTCCTGTTCCTAACAAAGACAAATCGATAATATTAAAAATATACACTTATTTAAGAATAACATGTTATGAATTAATTCATGCTGCTAAGAAAATAAAACAGGAATAAAAATATTCGACTTCATTTGGACGACTCCTTCAAACAGTCACGGAGTGTCTAAGATGCTCTTTCAGGAACATAAGAGCTGATTCTTCAAAACGTGAGGCGAAGGAGGTGTGTCATTTAACTGTTTGACTGGCAGTTGCATTTAGCCAATGGTAGACGATGACAAGCACATGGGGGAACTTTGTTTACAATTTCGTCGGGATGTGGGGAAAAAAATTAGGGGTGATAGAGTAAGTGCGAGTAAAGTGAGGGAATAATATAAGACTAATATGTTTTTTTTTTTGTTTAAATTTTTTTATTATTATTTTTTTTAAAGCCAGGTTAATCATTAAGATAAATTATTTTAAAGGATATTTTGAATGGATTTATCCTGAGTTGGAATAAATATGCCATCAGTTTCTAATTTTTGGCAATAAATAATAATTAAAAATTTGTTATAAATATTCATATTTGATAATAACATTCAAATTCGATTTTTATTTTATTTATGCATAAAATTATAAGAAAAAACAGGTATATTTTTAGTCTTTTTTTTTCAAATGTAATATTAAACAATTAAAATGTTTATTTAAAAATAAATTATGCAAATAAATACAAGTGCAAGTTAATAAAAATTTATTTGGTATTTAGAGTTCTTATATTTTTATTTTGTTTATAGATTTTGTATTTTACTGACCATTTAAATAATTTATCCACTTACTTAAACATGACATTTCCACCCGGTTGAATATCTTTCATAATGTCATATTTCACCTATCTGATATTTCTATTATTTAGCTATCAATATGTTTAATGTAATATTATATTATTATGTATTGTTAATAATGTTTTAATTCTATTCTATTATTTCATCGAAACATTAAAGCATATAATTTTGAGATCATAAAATATCTTTCATGTGATAACTATCCACAAGGTAATTTCCATGCGCAGTATTTTTATATTTATTTCAACTATAAATCAATTTTCTTAGTTTAACTACATTTTCGATTGCTTTAATTAAAAAGATTTTTCTTTTCACATAAATCCTTTTTCTTACCATATTATTTACCATTAAAATAATTATTTTAATGATAAATATTATTATTATTATTTGCCATTAAAAAACAATTTTGAAAGAAATTAAAAAAAAAAAAATACTCGAAGCCACGCCTTCCAGCTGCCACTCAAATGACGCGTTATAACGCCACCCTCTCTCTACAGAAACGTGCTTGCTCTTCTCCGGAGTGAAGAGGCAGCCAAGAGAGTCCTTCGTCAGATCTAAGTAGTATACAAGATCATTAGAGCTAAGAGAAAAACCGCGCCTGAAGACTGGAAAATTAGTTTAATTTTCCATCTCTTCGCCCTATGTTGGATTAGTAACTGAGGGTTTTAGGTTGGTGTTAAGTGTGTGAGAGGAAATATTTTCCGATCGTATTGATGGTGCTAGTCAAAGTAAGAAGATAGGTATGTTTAGGGTGTTCGACCGGACGGATTCCGGTGTGAGTGCCAAGAATATAAGAACAATTAACTGGAAAAACACTGTGATTTCGAATAACCTGGCGAGGTGGAGGTGAGTTTTTTTTTTTTACCTTCCTGTTCATTGCTTTGAATGACAGGGATGCCAATCTTTTTTTAGTTTCTTTTTTAATGTATCAACAGTTATAGAGCTGTTACTAGTGCTATCTTTCGTCGAGTTTTTAATAAGTTTTTCACCATAACCCATTTTAATTTTCAAAAATAAAATTTAAAATTTGGATTTTTGAAAAAAGGAATTCTTATTGTTGTTTTCTTAAATTGTTATTTCCCAGGATATTGAGTAATTCTTTTATGAAATTATTAAAAAAAATATGTAATTATGAACTTAGTTTAAAAAATTTTATTATTTAAAATTTCGTTATTTTTTTTTTTTAATTTTATAAGCTGGAACTGAAATTTTATTTTATTTAAAAAAAAATTTGATTAACTATTTTTCGCTGTACGTTTAGAATTGCTTCTCTTTTTATATATTTATTCTAGTTATTCAAACATATATAGTACTAAACATTCCTTGTTCAGTACAATATATGTCTCCTTGTATTCATAAATTAACACCACGATTAAAATAAGGATAACTTACTTAGTTTTTACAGGTATATTTTTATAGCTACTTTTATTAGTTATAAATTTACAACTCTAATTAATTTAGTTATTATTTTTAATAAAAACTTTGAGCAAATTTGAATGACTATAAGACTAGATTTTCATCTTACTCTTTAACTACGACAATGTCGAAATATTTTATCCATTTTTTATTAGTCAGCGGATTGTTGTTCGATCTGTCCGTGGAAAGTTTTATAGTGTTATGTTGCCATTATGCAGGCTTATTATTTGGCTCTTATTAAGTAAGGCACAATCGAAAAAAAGCACTTTTTAAAGATCTATATATAAAAGGATTTTGAAATTTGTAACTAAATAAATTATTGAATTATTTACGGTTACAGCTTTGCATTGGTCCTTAAAATATGTTTTTTTAAATTTATTTATCATCATTATTATTTCTTTTTTTTTTTTTTTTTTTTTTTTTTTTNGTAAGAGTTTTCATATTAATTTTGCTGCTTGCTTTTAGGTTTTTAGTGATATGTCTCATATTGTTAAAACTATCAACATGTACAGAAGCTGTAAGTAATTCCTTTATTTTTATCAATTCATCAATTTTCCATTTTAAAATAATAATTTGGCTTGCCTTTAGAAACGTAATGTTAGTTGCAAATAATTCTGTGAATTGAGGATTGCATCATGTGATCGTGTAATCTCTCCAGTGAAATTTACAGTAACCCTACAGCAGCATGGAGGAGGAAAAAAGAGAATAAGTGTTATGAATTCTTTTTTAACTTCCAATTTTAAAGTCATTTCTTGTTGAATTTAATGTAAATACTTGATTGTTAGTTGTACGTTTATTTAAAATATATTGATTTTCAGAAATGTTTTTAAGCTTAATAAAAAATATGTTTTCGAATTTTTTCAGAAAATAAAGAAACTTTCAAACTGGAACGAGAGTTAAATGTGATTAATCGTTTTTTTTTTCAATTGTAAAATTTAATAGGATTTAAACTAGATACTATTCCGATTTCATGTTATTTTAATTCGTTATTACTACCTGTATTGGTTATTCTAATTGTATATAATAAGTGTTTGACAAACAAATTGCGTATACGATATATAATTAAAAGTAAAACCAAATTTTTTTTTTTAAAATGAGTTCGTCTGTTTAGTTTTTTCAATTTGTTTAATAAATAATCATTAAAATAAAAAGTAAACAAAAACTTCACGTTAAAAGTCGAAAAATTAGAAATATTTCCATAAAACATATATGCCTTTTTCATATAAAACTTTACTTATATTTCCTTACTTAATGATAGTTAAAAATATAAGTTTTATTATTATTGTATTTCATGAATATTAGTGTACATTGTTGTAGTTTAATATGTTAAGAAAAAAAGCATGATCAGAAATATTTAAAGAAGGGAATCGAAGAAACATTTAGTAGTAAATTTGCTTAGTAGAGAGCAGTCCCCATATTTAAGATGATCATAAAATTCATAATATAAAATCACATCATAAAATAAAATCACAATTTGATACATATAAACTTATCTTATCCATTCAGAATCAATCTGTCCTTCTTTTATATGAATGATATATTAACTATTATGTACTAACTAATTATTTTTTGCACTCAGATATGTTTTCCTTTTTTTTTTCTTTAAATTTTTAATCGTTGTTTGTTGATCGTTAATTGCTCTTAAATATTCGGTAGATTATTAACAATTGAAACTATTGTAGTTTAAATAATGCTCCCTTTGATTGAAGTCCTTTAAATAAATATCCTATTAAGAAAGTGTTGTTAATGAATCCCAAAAAATTAGAATTGCATTAAAGTAACAGAAATATGTAAATTTGATGTAATACATATAATATTATTTATGCTTCCATAATTTTTAAGTGTTGATGATATTCATAAATTTTTATGTTATTTTATAATTTATTGAAATATTGTAGCAAAGAAATTCGTAAAACCTTTGACAAAAAAAACGAATTGTTGCCTAATATTAAATTTTATTATAAAGACAAAAATACGCTATCTTCTTACCACTACAATTCCAATAAGTCATTACCACCATAAAAATATATTTCATTACATCTTATCACTTCAATTATTTATTTTCGGAGATAAAAAAAATAGGAACTTAATTTTTATTTACTGATGCCAAAAGCATAATTTTTGTAGAAATTTGAAAGTAACAATCTTCACAGAATAAAAAAAAGAAGAAAAAAAATACTTACTTCTTATCAAGGAATATTCATTAATATCTATCATAAATAAGCTCTTTCATGGCGGCAGACTCCGTAAATATCAGATTATTCTCTGGGTATAATTTGATAAAATAATAACACTGTAATGGCGGGTGTTTTTCGTCTGACGAACTGAGTCATCATTATTTAGGAAAGCAGAGAAGTGTTGAGAGGGGAATGCCAAAACCCCTCAAATCAAGATCAAAAAATAAAAAATATGAGGAGAATAAGCGGTTTTTGTACCAAAAGAATTGTTCGCATTGCCGTGGTTTTTTTCGAAATGAAGTAGACCGTACCATGCCTTGAGTAGCGAGAAAATATTCTTACAATACAATTTAGCAGTAGCAGTACTTTCTCCTCTCGACCCTGACCTTCACTAGCCGAGTTTTTAGGGCTATCCCCCTTTTTTTTTGTAGATTTCCATGACCCCCTAAACACGAGACGAATCTGTGTTGATCTTATAAAGTGCCTGTTGGTAAGACAGTTTTCAATGAGGGAAGCGTAAACAAATTTTATTTGTCTTATTTATTGCTCTCGTCTTATTCCCCTTTTTATTCAATAATTAAAAGTGGTTTTATTTTTTTTTTTAAAGAAAAAGCTTAAATTGATTATGTAAGCTATATTTGATGTATTCGCAGATTAACTGAGAAGAAATTATTAAAATGTGTCTAAATACTTTAATTGAAACATTCCTAATACTTATATGTACATTTCAAATTCGTTCTTAGTTTGATTTTGTAATAAAAAAATTTCAAATTTGTACTTTCGATACTTTCCTAAAAAATATTACTTTAAATAGATTTGAAACTGAAGTTGGTAGTGAACACCTTAATAAAACGAACAATTAATTATTCCTTATATATTTTGGCATTTAAATATAATATCTAGTTAAATTTAACCATTAACAATTTTAAAATCGATAGTTTATAAATTACAAGTAACATTAACGATACTTAATGTAAATACATCCTTATTGTAGTGTGAAAAATATTGTGATAAATCGGTAATAAGTTGGACATTAAAAACATAAATTAATCTTATTATCTTTATCTATATTTCTTTATCACCTGAATAAGTTTTGAAAAATGTAAAATAGAATTTCGTTTATTTAGTTTAGATATTCACTGTGTAGATTTCTGATGCAAATAAACTCTAGTGCAATATTTTTTTGGGGAATATTTTGATTACAAAAATATACCGATATAAATTCTAAGTATGAATACGAAATATACGGGTAAAACGCTTTTTAGAAGACTTACTTTATTTGAGTGAAAGTTCATGAGTAAACATGCTTTAAAATATGAGTTATAGCTTTAAATTAGTTTTAATTTTTTTTCAAAGAGAAAACAGTTATCAGTTATAAAAATACCTTTTAAATCACTATTTTTCTCATGGTTTATACGTCTTTTTTCTTAATAATAATTCTTATTAAGTTTGAAATCGTTTTTATTAACTAATTCGAAATTATTTTTTAATATAAAATGAAACTTGTTCTTCTTAACTCGGAAATAGTACGCAAAATAAAAATTTTAAATTCTTAAAAAAGTATATTAAAAGTAATATAAATTGTGTGTGTTTACTTTTAACGTATTTTTAAAGTATATCCATCCTTTATAATTTCTTTTATTTCAAAGAACCTAATGATATTTAAAACTAAACATTTGATTTATAGAAGATACTATTAAATTTAATTAAACTTATTAAAATTAAGCAATGTAAAAAAAGCATATTTAAAAAAAAAGTAAAAATAAACCATTTTTCAGTTGGTTAATAAAAATTCTACAAGATTATTAGGCTTCAAAGTTTTGAACATATTTCTGTTAGTTATTAATTTTTTTACACAACTTAAGTTTTCCTAAAATATAACAATTGGATTTTCAACTGTAACAAAGACGAGTGATGTGAAAAAAAATTATCATTTAATTTGGCGCAAATTGCAAACTGATATAATATTATGACATTTTAACATATTAAAATAAATTTGACAATGATCATTACTTTTTTTGTAAACTTTTAGGAAATATTTGAGAGGAAATATTTCATTTAAGTTTCATAATTTTTAATTGTCGCAACTATCATTATCTGTTTTCGAATTTTATATTGTGAATTATATTTATAATTGTCACCCATATAATAACTTATAATGTTTAAGATATTTTTTATCAATGTAATTTTCAAAAAATACTAGAATGTAGTATTTTAGAAAGAGAAAAAAGAATAATTTGCTTGAACTAATTATTTGCCTATGACGAACTTCAGTAAGAAAATAGACTAAAAAAGATTTCTAATGACCTATTTATCATTTGCTTAATAAATTTTTTGGTTTAAATTTATCCTTGAAAAAAATAGCATTTAAAAATATTGCAAACTGTAACATTTTCTTCAAAATGTACATGGATTTTTTATACATAAATATTAAACATAATTTAATTTTATTCGTATTAAAAATAATAAGTATTTTCAGAGATCCATTAATTTTTGAAGACTAATTTGTAATTATACAACAAAATTTTTTATATGCAATAGATCTTAGGAATAGATCATTTCTATACTTAACTATTCTATACTTATTTCGATAAAAAACCTAACAAAATCTAAAACTATTGGAAACTATTAATTTATTTATAGATATTTTAGTATTAGTTTAAAATGGCTTAAAAAAATACATTTTATGTAAAATGATTTAAATAATACACATGACAGACTGATTTTTAAAACCCTTGGCAAACTTTCAATTTATTTTTGTTAATCGTAGTCCTTGACACTATTTAAAAATCATTTTTATATTCAGATAATATATACAAATATTTTTTATGAGTAAAAGTAAATTAAAAAATAAATTGATATCTTTTATGAAGAAAAAAAAATTTCTCGGTGAATAGTGCAGCTTATTAAGGATTAGAAAAATGACCACATTCTATTTTATAAAATACATCCCCTCTCTTTTCCCATAATTCTTACGAAAAAAATGTTTTGGAACAGATTACGCCTGAAATTGCATGATAATTTCCTTTCTCGCCCCCAATAAAGAGGGCTGCCGACCTCTTATATGAAATCAATCTAGAAATGGTTTGTTCCCTTTCGCCGCGGGCTTTTCCTTCAAGTTTTTCACTTCAACATTTTTTTTTCCTTCCATTTTATTTATTTATTTTTTTCACTTACCTCCCCGTTCAGAAACTTCTGAAAGAACGACCTGTGGTCTACACGCATAGGAATGCGTAGTACCTGGATATTCGTGAATAGTTTATCACATTCAAAAAAATCTATTGTTCGAAAAAGATGTTAGATTTGGGATTTGACCTCTGATCTGAATAACTCGAAAGGT